CTTCTTGTTGATTTTTTTATACTGTAAGTGATGTAAAGAATTTTAAAAATTCAAAAAACTTCAAATAATTTATTACTGACTTCCTTAATAACCTTGAAATTAATAATTAAAGTAAATAAATATTTACTAAATCACCTAAATTAATTTTATTCCTAATCAGAATGAAAAATTCTCCATATCACATAATTTTAAAACGAAAGTAAAATTTTATGAGTAAGTTTTTTTTTTTATTTTTAATCTGAAATAGTTATTTAATTGCCTTATTATACATACATATATTCTTACTCATATTTAGTTTATGTAATATTATATATTGTATAATTAATCACATATATATATATGCAAGCATATAAAATTCGTCCTCCCCAAACGATTCATGCAATTATTGATAAATGTTTTGCATTTATCAATTTTTAAACACTTGTTTTCATTTCAATTATCACAAGAAAAAAATAAAAATAACAGAAAATATTTTTTTTGCTTTTAATCAGAAATAAACACATTCTAAAAACTAAAAAATTAAAAATTGCATATTTAATTGGGATTTTGAAAGAAAACCTCCCACAATTTCATAAAACATGATATCAGAATTTGAACATACATATTTTATATTTATACACATATGTATACACACACACATAATATATATATATATTTACTTATATACCAGCAATACTTATGTACTCAAGTAAATTATGAAAAAAAAAAAAATACTTAATATGATAAGGCTATCAGACTATATTTTAAACAAGAAGTTCTTTTTCATTATAATTAAAAAAAAAAACAAAGCAAAATGCTTTCAGCTATCGCTTTTTTTTTTTGGTCATTCCAACTGTGCAACTAAAATACTTTTTCAAAATTCCTCTCGGTACAAGAAAAAAATACCAAAATTTCCTCATACGGCTTTCCTCGTCTGATGGAAAAGCAACATTACTGGAGTATGCAGAAATGCTATGATCACTTATTAGTTTTATAGTTTTCGCATTATTCGAAATAACACATCTACACGTGAGACCGCCTCCTTAATTTAATTATTTGTGGCTGTTATTTAGGTAAAGTTTGAAACTGGCTACTAACTAATAGAGCCAATAAATAACCTCAAATTAGTTTCAATTTGATTTCAATTTTCCAAACGACTACAAATTAGGCAAATTGATTTGACAACAAAGCTTACTTTAATATTTGCGAATGCGAATTGTAATATTTTTAAAGCAGAACATTACAGAATGTCAATACAGTCCCATTTTGATAACAATTCAATTTCAAAAAACTTAATTTGGAATATTTCCGTATTTAAATTAATATCTATCATATTATTCGACGTCTTCAATATTAAAAATTCAGAAATATTCTTAAGCTCTAATATACAGTGCTTACTTATATGAATAATAAAATTTAAGATCGTCTGACAATAAAAATTCGACTGTATATTGGCATCAGAAAAATAGCAAAGTTTCGATACTGAATGGAAATTATCAAAAAAAGCAGTTTGCACAATTAATTTTTAGATTAGAACCTTTATAAATAACTAAGTACCTAAATGCTTATCCAATTTTAGTATGAAAAACATAAATTATTGCAAGAAGAAATTAAATTTTGGAACAAACTTTTTTGAAAAGTAAAATTACTTATAATTATAAATTTTATTTAACAGAATTTTGGGATGCGGCACAGTCTATATCTATAGCAAAACCTTATTTTTAAAAATAAGTACATATTAAATCTAAATAAAGAAAATTTTAGTTAGACAATGCGATGTGTTGTTCGTAAGGAACAACTTGTACCAATTGTAAGGAACATTGATATAACTTTTTTGTAAACCAATAAGTATCAACAGCATAACTACATAGTAACTAAGTATTAGTTTAATCTATCTTTATCGAATCAAAATATTAATCCATCTTTATCGTAGAACAATTTAATATATCAAAAATACTTTTAAATACTTGTTGTAAAGTTGCAAAATATAAGATTGAATAGTTAAGTGTACTCGTATATTATTTTCTCACTTTTACATTGTTTATCTTTTTTTACTTTCTTCTTACATTTTTACATTAAGAATCTTTCAAGTCATTAGCCCCATACTCTAGTATCTTAGTTTTTGTCTGTAAAGGCCAAAAAGATCAAAGAGAAAATAAAATTAAATATAATACATGAGTATAGGTATATAATGTACATACAAACATAATCAGTCACATACCATATACATGTAGATATCAATATATATATATATATATATATGTATATATATATATACCCACATATAATATGATATTATTAATTTTTTATTCTTTTTGAATTTCTCAGCTTTTTATTTATGAAATTAAAATGTAAATTTGTAGAATAAAATAAGAAAACCAAAAAACAAGTTTACTTTTATCAGTGAGGGTCAATATAATGGAAAAAAAAAAGAATTTTTTTTCTCTTCACATTTTTTTTAATTCGGTTTTATTTTTAATATTATTGTGTCCATATTTTACAATTTGCTTCTTTCCTTTTTTAATTTGATTTTTTGTCTGAAACAGAAATAAAAACTAAAATTTGGAAAAATAAAATTTTTAAGCTGGTCTGACCTGGCTGAATTATCTATCCCTACACCTTGAAAATATAAAAACAACTATATAAGTATTTATTCCTACACCCAACTTTATTTTTTAAACTATTTAATATAACTTATATGGCAGGTACCCAAACAATTGCAGCTATTCCATTAAAATTCTCACAATATAATTGGGCACGCGTTTACAAAGTTTCATAGAAATATCCTTATTAGTTTCTGAAATATTTCAAAAAATCTCTTTAAGTTGTATGGCAGTTACTCGAACACGTTCTTCAAATTGTTTAAGTTACAATAGCACACGGCCTTGGCAGAGAAGAATCAATTTATGAAAGTTTGATGGTGTTTTCTTTATTACTTTTTAAGTTATCATGCAATCGAACTAACGGACGAACGGACATGTATAAATCAATGCAGAATTTTACGAGTAAAAACATATACGAGTATATGCATGTTCATAACACAGGCGACTCATTCAAGCTGTTATAAACTCCATAATAAAGTGAATAAACCCTTCGCGAAAGTACAAGGTATAAAAAAAAACTTCTCACTTAAGTATTTATAAGTACCTAATTGATAATCTGAACATGATTCACAAAGGTAAACGAATAACTTCAAGTTTCCTTTTAAATTATTTTAATAAACTTCTTAAAATATTTTATTATTAATCTGTAAATTTAAAATTAGTTAGTAAGTATATCGAAAATCAAAACAAATTTTAAAAATTAAATTACATACTGCAAAAATAATTTAAATGAATATGGAAGCCTTGAAAACTTAACATTTCTCTTTAAGTACTAAAAAATAATAACACAGTCTTCTTATAAGATACATTTGTTAAAATCAATAAAAACTATAACTAATCAATATTCTGTAGTCTTTGATTTAATCCTTGACATAAATAAAATTTCATGCATAGTTCTTTTAATAGTACAAAGTCAAATATGTATATATATGCATATACATATATGAAATTAAATACCTAGGAAATCAAGTATTAAGTATATGAACGGTATTATGGATAGGTATTAAATAAATAACAAAATTTTAAATTATATACCTAAATGAATTCTTTATGTAATAAATTTCAAACTTCTTCATTTCAAATTTTTAAAAACATAGGTATATATTTGAAAATTATTTCTGGACAAGTAGATACCTACCTATATTCATATACATATACAAAAGTAATGTTTAATTTAAATACACAACTTTGTTCAAATTAGGTGGGTCGGCACTTAACTAATAATAGATAAGTAAATAAGTAGAAAATCATGAGAGGCTGTGACAATCAGAGGAAAGAACTTTCTTTGTGCATAACGCTCTTTAAACCACTACCATTTACAAGTAAGTAGGTATATATATATTCTTGCCCATCTGTAACATTACAAGTCGTTCTGTAACAAAAAGCAATCACTCTCAGTAAAATTATAAACTATTTGATTCATTTGAACTTGAAATTTCGTGAAAATAACCAAAGAAATTCAAAATAATTTATATGTAAATATATGTATGTAGGTGCATAGGTTAGCCATTTAATTATTTAGTAGATGACCTAAATAGTTTATCTTCTTTCTATTGATGAAAAATATTATTGACGGTGACGAAAACTGACTAAAAAAATTAATAAAATTTATTACAAACGAATAAAAATTAAACAATGTTTACACTAACTATTAATTTTTTAGACAAGTAATTCATTGATTTATTATAAATTTAGTTTTAAAAACTACATAAATAGGTAGATGGGTGCCTAGGTATACCTTAAAATAAAGAAAACAATTTAATATAAAATTAAATTTAAATTTTTCTTTTATATTTTTGATAATGAACTACTTATAAGCAGATATTTATATTTAAAAGAGCTACTTTAAAAACTTCCCTAAATCATAAGTAAATAAGTAACTGCCTAGGCATCAATACCTTGATAACTGCACACAGTTACTCTTATATGTTTGCTTTTAGCTAAGTTCTAATTTACAAAAATTGCACATAACATAATATTATTTATTCCCAAATTTCTTATATATTTTTTATTGTTACATTGTACTTATTTATAAATACAATTTATTCATTCAAGATTAGATAATATGTATATGTATGTAAATATGTACATTGTAATAAATATTTATTTTGTGTGCATGAATGAATATTTGACATATTATTATGAATCATTCAATAAATTTAATTGAAAATTTTCAACTAATACCTATATACATAGGTATACAGCTATAGGTATAAAAGTATAAGTATTCATATTATTCTGAGTATTAGAACTTAGCTACCAATATAGGTTATCTAGTTAGGTTTACCTATATATGCATCTATATGTATAATAAAAAGGATTTTGTAATGCATTTTAAGTACCATCTATAGTTTAAAATTAAAATATATGCGTTTAAAGATAAATGTTACAAAAAATATATTTATAATAACAACTTACAATCCAAATGTTTCTTTTTAGGTGCAATCATCTCTTCAGTAGTTGCTTTACAAACAGATTTTGCGAGACCTTGGCCTGCTAAACTATGTCTAGCAGCCAAAAGTCTATCATTGATTGTTTGCCCTGCCATAGACATGATGATGGCTTTATATTTTAAATCTTTTTTCCTCGTATTACAATAAATGAACGGAAAAAGAATGTTTTCTTATAAAAATAAAGAAATTGAAAATAAATAAGAATTATGTTGGTGTTTTAATACTAAATAAATTTAATTATATATTAATATTTTTTAATATATTTAACTATTTTATTTTTCAAACATTTAATATGTCCATGTATATATTTATGTATATTTACTATATACACATTTAAAATCTTTATTTATTTCAAAATTTATATCACTTTTTCACTATTTTATTTCTCTATTATTGAATAGAAAAGCTTTTTTCATTACTCTTTTTAAAAAAAAAAATATGAACTATAGGGTACTATGATAATATTTATACACTACACATATCTTATTTATGTATGTATGTATGTATATATATATATATTTCACTGCGAAGGCTATTATAAATTATATTTATACATAAGTATGCACAATTTTGAGTTTTAATAATTTTTTTTTGTTACATACATACATACATATGTTACGATTACAAATGTTTTTTTTCTATTTTTTAATTTTTAATGACAATTCACTTTAAATTTTATAATGAAAATTTAAAATTAAAATGCAATGATATTATGATATTCAAAATTTTAATTAAATAAATCAAATTATTTTTCTTTTAAAAATCAATAAACCTGTTTAAATTTAGAGAGTTATAGAATTAAATTCTTGCTTGTGCCAATTCTGCATTAAAATATGAATTTTTTTTGGTTAAACACTCAACGATTAAAGATTTTACATGAAAAATAAAAAAAAATTTTACATTTTTACATAATGTAACTTGAAAATCTTGTTATATTGATTTTTAAACATAAATTTTTTTCTATTGAACTAAAAACATCTCTTCAAAATGAATATATTATCACCGCTCCCATTAGTTTAGGTCTTTATACAAAAATATTCCAAAAGAATTTATTCTTTGTAAGTAGGTATTTAAATCGATGAAGATGACGTTTTCCAGAATGGCTTCTTCTTTGATATTTTTTTCTTCAGTACTACAAGAGAAGTTTCTAATCCGATGAATTTTTTATAACTTAAAACGAAAATTCTAAAATGTATTTTTGATTTTTATTATTTGAATATATGGCGTTTAATGTTTTAATTAAAATCCGTTTTCAATAAATTAAAAAATAAATACTTGTTTTTTTTTTTTTCTGTATTGAGAAAATTTTCTACAGCAGAGAATTTTTTTACTTATTTATTTTTTATTTTTTTTATACTAGATATAAAAATTCTTCGCCACTCGCAATGAACGACGTTTGCGCTTTGTAGAATCCAATTGGAAAAATGGCATTTCATTTCAACCTACAATAAAATTGCATGTACTGTTGTGGAAATGTAGCTGTGTAGTTTATATATCAAATGTCTTTTTTTGACAGTTGTCAAGATTTCATGTTTTTAAATTTATATTATGTGTGCTGCCAGTGCAAATTACCAAAATCTGTGATGTATAGTCGAAAAATATATAGCAAATTTACTAATAATTGAAAATTTTAGTAAAATAATAAATAGTAATAACATGTGTCATTGATTATGTAGAAATATTTTTTAATTCAAAATTGGCATGTTATCTACTTAAGAATTAGTAAAATTGCCTATAACTAATCGAAAATGGATAATAATGGATAATTTCGATTGAATATAACTGCTCGAAAATGGAAATGGATTTGAAATTAAAAAACATGAAAAAATCTATGAGCCATCTCTGAATGATCAATGAGAATGACCCCAGCAACAAATAAGTACATGTTATAAAAACAAATTTTTGGTAATTGAAATTTTAATTTATTCGTTGGAGTAGGAGATTTGGATTTTTGTTGGATGAATATGCGAATTGATAAAATCAAGGTATTAAGACAGCTCTTAAGCTATCTGTTAAAAAATGATTTTGATTAAAAAAACAAAACAATTATTGTTTTCACTGTATTTGATTTGAATTGGAAAGTAGAAAAATGAATAATGGAGGAAAAAAAGTAAAAGGTAAACGTGAATACACCAATAAATTATAAAATGTCTTTTCTTTTCAAATGAGTCGTTGAATTTTGTTGTTCCTCGTTGTTTTATCGACATTAGCCGATTTCGCTATAGTTGCCGTTCTCATTGAGCATCGAGGGTATATTCCGCTAACGCAGTGGACAAATAAATACTTATATGTATATACACATGTGTAGTTATATTGAAACAAATCGAAAATAATTATGTATTTACAAGTACGATTATAATATTTTGATTTTAGCGCAATGATTGTGTAATATTTTAGTTTTTCCTTCACTTGCGACCTATTAAAAAACTCATTTTGCGAAGGCTTTCATGTAGCAAGTATATTTTATTTTATTTGTTTATATCAGACGATTGCTAAGTACAAGCATTTAGTATAGCAAAGTAAGTATCCCTTAGCCAACAAACGTGGCAATAACCTTAGCTAACAAGTGACAATAACTGAATCATTTATAGATGGAAAGGGAAGTGAAAGGAAAAGGGGAGGAAAAATAATTTTAGAAGTATTAATTTAATATTAATAAGTAAATTATTAATAGTCCATGTACAAAAAACAGACGAATACAACTTGGCGCAACATAGGCGTTTCTGCGTCCCATAGTTTGTACTACAACGCGAAACATTGAAAAGTTCAACTAACCTTAAGTTACTGGTATTCTCCCTGTAAGAAATTCGATTACAAGTTAATGAATGAAAACTATATCGGAAACCACCCTACGAAAACGAAGCTATCTTAAGCCCAAAAGCTAAAGCCTACCCTCATAATGGGCCAATCTGAACGGAGTTGTGCGTCGATAGATCCAATCTAAATTGAACCACGGTCACTCATATGTCTCTTTTAAAAAAAGAAAATGAAACTCTTTAAAGATTAATGGTAAATCAAATGAATTTCAAAACATTACAATTTCAAATTCAATATCGATTTAAATTTGCGTGCAAAAAAGGTATAGATTAATGTAAACAAATTCGAATTTAAAAAAATTTATGAATTAAGCATGATATTGAAAATTCTAAAATTAATCTCACAATGAAAGACTAAACGCAATGTCTAAAGATAATTTGACGCCATTGCGTTTTGCAGTGATAAATAATCAACCCAACGTAACTGTAGTATTATTGGAATATGAATATGAGGGAAATTATTAGAAACAATAAATGAGTGTTAGCTTGCACCTATGTGAATATGCGCATAAGGTTTTTCAAACAAGTATGTACGTAGAATAATCGACGGAGTAGAGGATATTCGCACACAGTTCTTTATAAAACATTACTATGTCAATCAAATTTACATTATAACAACTATCCTTACGTTAAGGTATTATAGGTTAAAAATTCCAAGTTTTGTGCATAATTTTTTTTGTTGTTTACGTAATATAACTCGCAAGAAAGCAGTACCCTATGAATTTTGATGAGGATCAGTGATTCAGCGACGAAATGTAAGCTTTGTAAATGTTTGTTTAGTGAGTTCACATCATACCCCACCGGTAAATTTTTGTTTATAGCGCAACTCTAGTATTTATTTTATTTTATTAATAATCGATTCATTTAATGAATAATTTTTATATTTTGCATATGTACAATGTTCATGCATGCAGGTATACATAAATATGATACAATGTAAAAACTTATACATTTACCACCGCAATCTTAAAAATCAACTTTTCACTCATACAAACATATTTAATTTCTCTACCAAAAATTATTTTGGGCACTCTGTTATAATAACGAATAATCAATTTCGTAAAAAATTTTTAATAGAAAAAATGGATTTACCAAGTAATTAATTTTTTTTTCTATAAAAAATATAATTTAAAAAATCATATTAATTAAAAAAAAGAAATAAAAAAGGAATTATATTTTCTCTACGCTATCTTTCATCCATTATTTATTCTTCGTGAAATTCGCCAGAATATATTTGTCATATTCTATACTCCTGCCTTTCTGATAAGAATTTTGATTATTTATACAAAGAGATTCGTTCGTACACATTTTGGTACAGATGTAAATACTTTTTTTTGAATATGCAACAATACGACAATTCACTCAAGCTTACTTAAAAGTAAAGTTGAGTCAAACCAATGGTTTGTAACAAAGCACTTTTCACTTCAAAACAATCTACATAGATAGCGTAACATATACAACTATTGACACTCTAAAAAATCGGTGCAGTTTTTACCAAATCGTTAAAAACAGTAATCGGATTTTTACAGTAAATCGGTACCCAATTTGTAATAGCGCTTTTCGAGCATTTGTAATTATTTAAACAAAAACTAATTACGTATTCTAAATATTTGACACTTTCTTCATTCTTTGTTTATTATATAAATAATTTTAATTTGTAAGAAGGCTTTTAATTTTAAAAAACAAAAATGGAATATTACTGAATTTATTTTAGAAAAAAAATAGTGAAAATCATTAAGAACTTCAATCATAAAGAACTAATATGTAAATTTAGTATTTTTTAAGGTTGCTGCGATATTAATAATATGGTTATTGCACTGTTTGAAGAAATGAACGTTCAATTTAGTATTTATATAACCAAAATGGAAAAAATATTATTTAGCAATTATAAAATAGGAATGTCAACAGTTCCGCAAATGGAAGAGCTGCTGAGAAACCTTGCTGTAGTAAGATAAAATATTTATAATAATTTAATTATATTTATAATATTTAAAATAATAAAAACTTATGAAACAGCTGGTATAAATATCGAACATTTGTATGTATGTGTTCTTATATGAGTACATGCATACCAATTCGTTTTTTTTAACTTTTAAAAAACTTTTTTTTCAAAACTTTTTTAAACTTGCTAGAGTATCGGTAATAATATAGCAACTGTTAGGTCAGTGCATTGAAAAAGTACTTTACTTTTTCTAGATTGGATTTGAAACGCCTGGAATTAAATCCTATACATATATAAAGGATCATATTAAATGTAACAGATAAAACTAATTCCTTTAAAAGATAATTTAAGGGCGTATTTATTGCAATTATTGCAATAAAACTACTATTTTTATTTAAATTGCATTTTCTATTATTTTCTCAAGAAGATATGTCAATAATTGTGCATTTATACCACGTCAATAACTATATTAGGGTGTCAAGCCATGTCAATAGTTGCACCAAGGTGTCAATAATTGTACTTTTTCGTATTCACGCAAACAAATTTGATTTTTAATACTTTTATACAACATTTGATAAATTTTCGCATATGAAATTATGAAAGAGAAATATTCAATTTAAATTTTACCCATGCTTAATTTTTTTTAATTCTGCATATACTTTCATTATATATGAATAGGAAACTATTTCAAGAATTGCATACACTTAGGACGAACAATTTATACATTCTTTGAAATAACACAAAAAAAAAAATTTAAGAGACGTTGACATAATCTTCGATTTTAAGGTTTAATTGCGTGAGTTAAGAAAAATATTTTTTAATGGCATGACATTTACCGTTAGCTTCCTACATTCATAGAAATTTGAAAAAGTTTGCAGTTTCAGAAACATAAGGTGCCAAAAACTCAAATTTTACAAATTTCGATGGGCGATAACTTGAGAGGTAACTTAAAAGCTATTAAAATTTCAGACTTTTACAATTTGAAGTCTAGAATTTGGAGTCAACTTTTAGAGAAGGGGAAATAGGTAAAATTTTTTTTTTACGAAAACCAGTTTCTAGTAAAGATCTTATGTACGTAAAAGATTTCAGCTTTCTATCCCACCTAAATGTTTTGTAAACATGTTTGCGGACGGACGGACAGAGTGAAAATAAGCACTTTTTTACAAAAATTTTTTGCAAATGTGCTAACAAGTAAGTATACATATACAGTTGAATCTGAAAAAGTGAGAAACCTCTATATTAGTGGAATAATTTTTCCAGGTTTTTAAATTTTCTTTAATAACATTTAACCTTCTTCTCTGTAAAAATGTAAAGTTTAATTTTTAAACCCTTGGTTTAAACTTTAAACTTTTTAATTTTATATAGATTAACGCCATTTGATATTAAATGAATACCATAGACTGATACTAATGGATAATGGATATATACCACATAATGCATACCAAATAAAATTATTAAAACTAAACTACTATTTATACTAAGCTTAATAAGACAAATTTAAATTTTACTACAATAAATCCTAAAAGTTAAAAAATCAAACTTGATAGGGTTAAGAAATTATTTACTTATTTAAAATAAAAACTTTAACTTTTAAAATTTAAACTTTGTCCATTAGAAAAATTTCCATTTTAAGCTACTCAAGGTTACTTTTAAAGCAGTTTAGATTTTAAATATTGCAATTTACATTCGAAGCCACTCAGTTAAAATTATTTTAATAAAAAAATGTATCAACTAGAAAACAAAACCAAAATTGTTCATCAAATTTTTTTATAAAAGAACTAATGAAATCGGAATCACACTTGTGACTCGATAGATAAGTGAGATACTTATCTGTTAAATAAGAAACCAATAAGAAAAATAGCTCTCCCTTGAAATTCGGTTTCTTTTATTCAAATTCAACTGTACTAATTAATTTTAACATATAATATGTTATTAACATAAAATAATATACATATGTGTTATGTTGTATATTACATACCTACACATGTTAATATACAACTTTATATATTAATTATTTCTTTAATTTGAGTGCTTGTTAATACAAAAGATGATATAATTATATGTATGTAGATAATTGTAATTTTGAAGATAACCAAAATATGAACATAAGTATAATAATTTACATTAAATATAAAGAATCTTGCTTAATATTTCGCAGTTGTACTTTAACATTTGGTGAAAAAACAATATTTACAATTTTGTTAATTGCAAAATATTTCTTTTAAATGTCATTTTTAAAATGCCGAACAAATTAAACAAATCACATGTAAGTAAAGGCATTTATACTTCTTCATGTTTCGACAAAAAAATGTGATTTGTATAAATTCACAATTGGCTATCGACAGATTTTTCATTTATAACAACAGATTAAACAAGATGTTGTGAATTTATACGAAAAAAGACCTACGAGTATACAAAAATGTCAATTTGCATATTAAACAATTTTCTCAACAAGCAAAAACTATTTTCATTTTAAATTTTTCTTTTAAGATCGGAAGTAGTAACACGTCAGTGGTTAACGTAAAACTCAAACATTTAACACGGAACCGCTTTAAAAGATTCGCGCTTATACCAAATAAAAAGCAGCAAAGATGTAAAGAATTAAAGATTCAATCAATCCATTTTGAAAGAGATGCTAATATGGCAAGCACAACAGCTTCAGTTGTTTCATCTATACCTTTTTTTGGAACTGGTGCAGCTGCCGTCAGCTCTGCGGTTGCTGCATTAAGTTACTTAGCTAAATCGAGTTCCGATATCGCATACATCCAAGAAAATTGTGATGACATACCATTCGATGAAATAAAAGAAATTTTGGAAAATAAATTTAACGCCATGGAAAAAAGTTTTGAAAGAAATTTTGGAATCTTAAAACTTGTATCAGAAATGGCTATTAAGACATTGTCAACTGTAGAAATGTCAAGAATTGAATTGCATCAAGGATTCAATCATGTTTTACAATTTATCAGAAATTCTGATATAGAACGTGTAATATCGCAAATTAATAGTTTTATTCAACATTTTGAAGATGAAAAATTTGCATTAATGAATTTACATCAAAATGACTATATTATTAAATTGCATGATCAATACGGTATTTTATCAATTTTGAGAGATTCTAGGAATCCAAAATCAGATAGTTTTCACAATTTATTATACACAATTATTAATCATAAATATGCTATTCCACAAAATGATGATGATGAAGTTGCTTTCATTGCTCTCTCCGCTCTGTGCAAAGGAACTCAAACATATGCCTCAATTATGCTCTTCTTGATACAACAATATTCATTTCTAGCAAATTACCACTATGAAAATAATGATTTAAATGAGTGTAATAAATACTTTGACTTGATTTACTTAAGTTTTCAAGATTTCAAACAATCTCTTGTAGGGAGTAGTTATTCTAACAACACATCTTTGATAGGAACTGTAATTAGTATTCTGAAAGATATCCAAAACAATGAAAATTTATCGGAGACAACATTAGAACAAATAGATATATTGAACAAAATTCAACATCAGTTACACAGAATGAAATTGTCAGATACTATTATAGAAGATGTACCACAAAAATTTGCAACAAAACCTAGTTTCAAAAAGTCAAAGATTAACACACCAATCGGAAAATGGGAGAATGGAGCTAAAGTTAGTTATGCTATACAGTATAAGGTAAACAACACCTATTCAAAAATAGGAGAATGGTCAGATCCTTTGATTGTAAAGAATAGAGCTAATCCGTATCTCACAATACCTGTAGATCCAAAAAGAAGAACTAGAATTATCTTTAGGAAATTCAACAATGAAAAACCTCAACTAGTTGGAGTTCTTGAAGAAACATATAAAACCACTTTCAGAGACATTGACAGAGATCTCTTTAACGCTGCGTTAAGTTTCGATGAAGACGCTGCCATGAGAGATATAGAAATTTTTATACATAACGGAGCGAAAGTCAGTACGCCGTTTGCAAAAGGAAGGAATGCAATACATGCAGCTGCTGAAGGAGGGAACATAAATATAACTCAATATTTTTTAGCTTACGATGAGACTGTCTCTATAAATTCTGTTGACAATATTGGATACACTCCAATTCATGTTGCTGCTGAAAATGGTAATGATGACTTTATAGAATTTCTGTTAGCAAATAACGCCAATGTGAATGCAGAATCTATTGATGGATTGACGCCCTTGCATATTGCTGCTTCAAAAGGTTTTACATCTTCAGTTGAAATTTTAATGAAAAATGCAAAGATTGATCTTAATAAAAAGCAAAAAGGAGGTTTCAGTGCCTTACACCATGCAGTTGTTGGCGGAATGTCTGTAACAAAAACTTTAATTTCCAATAATAGAACTGACCTCAATGTGAAATCTGATGATGGTTTATCTCCACTGCATCAATCAGTTATAAACAGTTATATAGACATTACCGAACTTCTTTTACGAAAAACTAGTATTAATATAAATGTTAAAGATAAAAATAACTTTACTCCTTTACACTATGCATCAATTATGGGAAATGTACACATAGTTCATCTTTTATTAAAGCACAGGGAAATAAATGTTAACGCAATGTCTAAAGATAATTTGACGCCATTGCATTTCGCAGTGATAAATAATCAAGCCAACGTAACTGTAGTATTATTGGAAAATGAAAAAATCGATACAAATGCAGTCGACAAAAACAATTTAACAGCTTTACATTTTGCTTCAATGAATGGAAATCTTCATTTTCTTGAAGTTTTGAAAGAACGACAAAAATTTAATATAAATGCACAATCAAATGATTATTGGACACCATTACACTTTGCTATCGCTCATAAGAATTCTGAATATGCTTTGCAACTGTTAAACGATAATAATACTGACGTAAATATAGGTGGAGAAAATAATTTTACACCTTTACATATTGCAGCTAGAAGTGGACAAATTAAATTAGTTCGCAGACTTTTGGCAAAGAATGCTACAATAGATATTAAAACTTCAGATGATTTTACGGCACTTCAATTTGCTGTGATAAACGGAGAACATAAAATAATGACAATTTTAATTGATCACGGGGCAAATATATTCGTAAAAACATCTATGGATTTAAACCTTTTACACTTGGGTGTTTTTTTTTCAAAGAGTAATTTGCAAACTATTCAATATCTCATAAAAAAGGGAATCAACATCAAAGCTCTTGCTTACACCAAAAAAATACAAAACAAAGGAGCACTTTTTAAAAATAAGATTAAAAATCAAATAAGTTCAATAGAGGGCAATGTTTTACATTTCGCAGCTGAAGCTGGAAATTTTGAGGCAATAAAATTTCTTACAGAACAGAAACATATAAATATCAACAGTAAGAATAGTGCTGGTGAAACTGTTTTGCATATAGTTGCACAAAGTGGAAATTTATATTTATTCAAATATTTAGTGGAAAAAACTTCTATGAATCTCAACTCTAAAACTAATGATGAAGAAACTGTTTTGCATTATTGTGTTAAAAGTAATAATTTAAAATTAGTAAAATATTTCACTAAACAGCCGAATTTAAAATCATCCATATTGCACGCGCAAGATATATATCGTAATACAGCAATGCATTTCGCTGCTGATTTAGGATATCTAGACTTGGTCAAATATTTTATAAACGAAAAAATCGATATTAACATCAGAGGCGCTTCAAACAATACACTTTTGCATTTTGCCACAGCAAGTGGTAATTTTGATCTAGTGAATTATCTTGTTGACGAAGGAGCAAATCTAAATGCAAAAGATGACTGCAACAAAACTATTTTAAATATAGCCGTTAACCACTACAATTTAAAAATAGCAAAATATTTTATTGAAAAAGGCATCTCTTTAGATCATCCATTCAATTTTACGATACTACATTCAGCTGTCGACCACAACGATTTGGCCTTTGTGAAATATCTACTTAATAAAAAAATTAGTATAAACGTTAAAGATGTTTTGGGCGCTACTCCTTTACATGTTGCCCTTGGACATAGCAAATATGAATCCATGAAGTATGCTGTAGAAAATATTTACGGTGTTTTGGGTTTGCTTTGTATTCCAAGTTGGATTGATATGTTTGAAATGGAAGATTTTTTGGATAATTTGAAAGAAAGTAAAATACCTAAAACGTCTATTGCGAAATATCTTATAAGCAAGGGAGCTGATGTAAATAGTAAGACATACCAAAATGTATCAGCTTTACATTTGGCAACTGTAAGCAATGCAACAGATATGACAAACTATTTAATAAAATCAGGAGCAAATATTAACGTAAACGATATTGAAAATGAAGCAGCTTTAAAAATTATTAAAAATTTTAATAATAAAATTGCTCAACTGGAAGAGGAGGCCAAAAACAGAACAAAACGAGATGTTAAAATTTCCAAGACAAAAACATCAGTAATAATCGAGAATTCTGATTTAGAAGATAATTCTTTAAGTTATAATTTGGAAAATGAAAATTTATTTCTCAATGACAAAAAGTACAATGAGAATAATGGATTTACAAGCGGAAGCAGCAAAATATATCCATGGATGTATTCGACAGTAAATATGTTTGCAAATTCAATTCAAAGTTTTTCTAAAACTTTGTCTTGTATGTGGAAAAATTCGTTAGATAAACCGACATATTTTGAGCCAACATCTATCGCAAAAACTCAAAATATCGAACTAAATTCAACACTTTTGCTTGCAGACTTATTTGTAAGAAAAGTAACTGGAAAGAAATTGTGTGACCATAGTCAATCAAAAGAATGTGATGACTTCTTAAAAGAAAAGCAAATATTTGCTGTAGCTATTACAAAAGAATTCGAAACTATTATAAAACAGTCAGCCTTAAATAACGGTATTTCAATACATCGATTAAATATTGACTTTTTTAACTTACAGCAACATGTTATCAAAGCTATTACAGATATTAACAAAATTGATGAAATATTAAAGATTGTACAAGCTTATGTAAGAAAATCCATTTTCGACGCAAAAGTAGAATATTGCGGTAAATTCTCCAGAAAGAAGATAAAAAATTTTATAAATGAATTTTCTCAAAATTTTTTTTTAAAATTCAATGAACACAAATAATGATTTCTTCTGAGAAAAGATTATAAAAACAAAAATATATTTTTTTATATGATATCGCCGGTATTATGGAAGGATCACGAAACTGCTTTTTTGAGAGTTTTGAGTTATGTATACAAAAAAATTCAGAAATTTTTAAACTATTTTTATAAAAAACGCATTTTGAGTTCACGTTAGCATTTTCGTAAAAATAAGGTTGTAAATTTTACACATCTCTCAAAATTTACATTATTGTATATATGTTCTCAAATGCGTTTTTCTCCAAACATAAAAAAAGCAGTTTCGTGACTCTTCCATAATACCGTCGATATGGCATTTTAAGAAAATTGCTACTAGAGTTAAAAATTATTTTAATGAAATTTAAGAAAACTTTGATTTAACCAAAGCAAAATATTAGCGTTAAGATAATTTTAAATAATATTTTTTCTCTAATGTTTATAACAAGAAATGAATATTCTATAAATAGAAACATATCTTTTATATTCATACGTTATATGTAAGTCTTTCAATTTAAGATCTAATTGGTTTTAAGATTAATATTATTATAATTTTTAGTAAAAAACGTAGAAATGGGATTTAATTTCAAATTGAATATTATAATAATTCTCATAGGTAATTACCAAATGTTATAATTGTGACACAAGAAACACCAATAAAATTCCATGAATATTGTCAAGTAAAATTGATCGAGCATACTTAATAACAAAATTAATTCTGTAATTTCTAGTTTTTTATCTGTACTTCAAAATAGTTTAGCAACATTTACATATATCATGACATTCTTTAGTTGTAGAAAATTTTTATATCTGGAAAAGATTTACAATAAATTTTTTAATTTTTTTTTTAATTCAAATTCTCATTTAATTGATGTGACGATGAGCATAATAGATTGCTTTTTCTACGTGTCCTCAAAAAACTTTTTTGGAGTTTCAGAATCGATTTCTAGAAATTTGCAGAGCACTTTTTCACCTTTTCTATATTGAGCAACCACTTACATATGTATGTATACATCCTTTATACGGTATTAAATATAGAGGTAATAACTGAATACAGTAGACACATATGTATGTATGTATGTCATGTTTCATTAGTTCTAATTTGCTAAAAAGGATTTTAAAGAAAAACACATAGCAAGCAATTTATGTACATACATATGTACATAAATGGGAAAGTATAGGGAAAATTTAATATTGGTTACATTTTACTAAAATTTAAGGAACAGTTAACTGTCCCGAATTGATGTGGTTAAATGATCTCTAAGGAGTATTTCTTTCATAAATAGCAAAAATTTGTTTTATATACATTGTATGTAATAAATTAAATTAAAAATAATTTTACTGTATTTCACAAAATCACAAAATTTACTTACCCAAAATATTGAGTAGTTTTTGCAAAACCAACAAAACGGAAAAGATATTGTAATCAATACGAAACTCCAGCTGAAACAATGAAATTCCGCTGGTTCGGAGGGTTAAATAAAAGGGTTAAAAATGTCCGCGTCTAAACACAATTTCAATTAACCCCTTTTTTTTATAATAATTTTTAATTTTTTTTTTTTTAAGTTAGGCATTTTTAACTTTCACAATTTCGTTCAAGAATCTAACGCAGCCAAGTGACTTTACTTTTACGATTCTTCTAATTTGAATTATTGTTCACCCGACATTTTTATGTATGGTGTGAGTTATCAATATGTAATTAAAAAGTAATTGTCCTGAAAACATAACACAATTTAATTATTAAGTTTAAAAATAATTTGATTTTAAATATAAACTTAATCTTTGCGTCCCTTCGTTTTAGATGTAAGAAAATATGTAATTTGACATTTTAAAGATACCCGCCTTCATTATTCAGGTAAAAATCTGCTGAATGCTGGTTAAATTCGAATTGATTAACAAAATACAATCGATTTATTATAAAATAGTTTTATAAAAGCTATATCTGCAAATAGTTCTCCTATTATTATTTACTTTTTTATATACATATGGATGTAGCCTGGTTGAGCTAAGTAATGAATATTGAGGCAAAGCACAGCTAACAGAAACATTAATTTCTACCAATCGTGAGAAAATCACTTATCGAAATCATAGAAATTGAAGCGCTCTCAGACCAACTTGCTATTTTCTTTTTTGCGGTATTAGAGTAAAAGTCGAAAGAAGCTTTCAATCAAAAATCCTTTAATTTAAGTCAAAGAAAATATTGTTTTTATCAAAGTACATTATTTGTGTTAAAGTAATGCAGAAACAAAATAATTATGTCAACGGACGAAGATCAATTTTTATATTATTTTCCAAATTAGAAGACGAGGAAAATGAATTAGCGTAGGGTAAAAATGCATTTAGCCTTAGAGAAAAAAGTAAGTTAATACACGGCTGTCATACATTTGATTCCATTTTTTTATCCTTTATTCCATAATTTTTCTAATTTTTGTTGAACATATCCTATTAGTTATTCATAGTTTGATATTTTCTCACCAATATTAAACACGTCAAAGTTTACAAAGAATTTTGAAATTGAATCGGTTATAAACATTAACATATTGAGAAACATTATTTGACATAGCTAGTAAACATTATTTGACATAGCTATTTAGATAAAAAGGTATATAAAAAAATAATCTTGCCGCCAAAAAAATCGTGTTAGGCATATGGTGATATAAAACTGTCAAACGTTAAATGAGAAAAATGTTAATTTTGATTTGTAGGAATAATTAAAAAACAAATATTCATTTACATGTATGTTTAAGCTGGCAATACTTATTATAAAAGGAGAGTATGTCAAACAGTTGAGTTGACGCCCAACAAATGTCAAAAATAATAATTGAATTGTTATTGTCATTGACAAATGGCATTTTGTTTATTATTTATATAAGAGAAGAGTCAGCCGCAACTTATTTATTCAGTGTAAGGTGGTGTATAAATAAATTATATTCCAAATTAGAAATTTTTTTTTTTAGCATTTTTAATTCAATAATAAAATAAATTACTTAAAGAAAAGCATTATTTATTTTTAACTAGGAATTTGATCTTATTTGAACTGAGATGTCATTCAAAATCAGGAAGATTATTGCTGAATCCGTAAGTGCAATTTGTTTTGTAAGAAAGATTAAAGAAATATTAGAAGAGGCTTTTCTTTTTTAATGAAAGCGAAAGTTATCAAAATTTATTCTTAATTATTGACAACAATATTTATGACGACTGTGCCTTAACCTTATTTAATTGTTAATAGGCACTAGTGCTAATTTTTGTTTTTTGAAATATTTTTTCCGCATGTCGTCCTAATGTATTCAACAATTTTACTTAATATTAATTTTATGTTAATTCAACATACGTATAATATAATTATATATGTCTTATTAATAAAAATTATGTATTAAATAGGTTTTATTTTGCTTAGAACAAATTGATTTTTTAATGCACGTTGGTTCGGGATCGAAATTAGAAACTAGAAACTTTAAAATGAAAAACAAGCTAGTCGTATCTTATTGTTTGAAAAACAAGTCAAAATCTTAAAATCTGATGTATAAAAGGTCTTGTAATCTTCTCATTGAAAACGTCCACTCTTTGCTTTTACAAATTTCCAAACAAAAATTAAAATTAATACACCATATTAACAGAACTTTAATTTGCGTGCAATTAATAAAAATAATTATGGTGAGAATGAGCACACAAAATTTATTGTTTTTATATAAATTATATCAAATTAAGAGTTATGAAAAAATTATAATTTTACTATATTTTATGTACACAAATGTATGCAATACATGATTTACTCTCTTGTTGTTAAACAATACAATTGATCCCAGCAAAATGTACACCTTGAGGTTGCTCAATTCTTGGCTCTTCCTTATAAGTGATTGAGCGTAATTGACAGTATTGAATTAGTGATTTTAGAGAACAACAATTCCATGAATTTCCAGATATTGAAATATTGTTTAAATTTCTCATCGGTCTTATGGTATTCAAATTTATTTCTTCAATTAGATTATGTGATATATCCAAATATTTTAAATCTGCAAGATTGTCAAATATCCCAGTTTCCAATTGATTTAAATTACAGTATTGAAGTGAAAGACCTTCTAAATATTTGAATTGTTTAAATGAATCCTTATCTAATGTTATTGATGGGTTTGAAGAAAGATTAAGTACTTTTAAATTAATAAATCTTCCAATCATTTTTAAATCTTTCAAAAAGCATTCATTTAATGTTAATGTTTGTAAAGTTGCAGGTTCATTTAATTTAATTTTTTTTATTGGAGTTTTTATAAAATGCAATTGTTTTATGATACCGACGACATTTAATTTAACTAAACTAGATGAATCTGAAATAAATTTTTCTATGTTCACACTTATCAAATTAAGCGTTTTTATTGGATTAAATGATATGTCCAACACATTCAGGTTCTTTACTTCTTTAAATATATTTTCATCGATTGTTAATATATTATTATTATCTATATTTAATTGATAAAGGTTTGTATTATTATCAAATAGACCTTCTTGCAAAGTTGTTATTTTATTTTTTGATAGAAATAATGATGTTAATTTTGGAATATTTTGGAATAGTAAATCGGATAATTCAGTTATTTCATTATTCGAAAGTTCGAGGAATAACAAATTATCTGAAATGAAAAAACAAAATATTTTAATTACTGTTTTGCATTAATAAATAATTAATTTGTATAATAAAAAAATAATAATAAGAATATAATTTTGTATTTGAACCAATACAAAAAATTTAAAATTTAGAGGCAAAAAAAAGGCAGACAAATTTGCGGCATTCTTTTTAAACTTGTCCAAATTTGTGTCTTTAGCTTGCAATAATTAATTAAGTACTTCATAATAAATCTTTAATTTGTTAATAAAATTAAATATATGTGTGAAATAAAAACCTATTTTTACAAGATAGTAAATTTTGAGAATTTACAAATTAACATTTATATTACTAGAGATTTTTTCAACTATCTGTAAAATTTTGTACTTAAAACAATTAAATGGATTAATAAATAATTACATTTTATACCGTGACAAAATTAGTTAACAGCTTTGTTTCAACTATTAACTTTTACAATTTACAATTTTACCTTTACAATAATTACAATTCTACTAAAAATTGTTTTAAGTATTTATTAAATTGTTATAAGTCTTTAAGACATGAAACTATTGCAAATTTCTCTCGAGTTTTTTGCTATCTTATCATTCTAATGTGTAATAATTAATAAACTACACTGTCATATGACTATTATTCCTAATTCTCAATTTATGTTTAATTATAGCAGTTTGATGCAACATAATTAGTAAAAAGCTTTTTCGATTTAAAATATGCTTTCTTTATTACTTTCTTTAATTATGTTCTCATTATGATCAATCAATTGTCAATTTAAAAAATAGTTTTGCTGATTTAAAAAGAACCGTCTAACAAATACTATGATGCATATATTCAATTATATAATCATTTCGGAACGCATCAAACTCTTATTAATTTTATTTTAGAATTTTAATTTATAGGTAAAATTTGTAACAAACTGTAGAGGAATTTTCGGTTCTGTCACTAAAATTTATTTCAATTCAATTATTAATTAACCACATAATAATTTTTAACTTTGAAAATTTTATATATGTGATACGTACAACGTTATTATAATATCGTAATTGTATAACTAACTATATTCAATTAAAATAATTGAAATTATTTTGAAGCAATACAATTTTTAATATGTACTTGACTTACCCATGTCATCAAACGCAAATTCATTAATTTTTTCAATTTGATTATTACTTAACCACAAATATTTGAGATTTGGTAATGATTTAAATACATTATTTTCAATTGATTTTAATTTATTATTTGATAAATATAAAAATTCCAAATTATTTGATGTTAAATTATCTGGTAATTCTTCAACATATGCATTCGATATTGATAATTGTTTTAAATCTGGATATACGTTAAATAATTCAATTGGAATTTTTGGTATTATTGAATTTTTAAAATATAATAATTTCTTTGAATCAAATATTTTATCGATATTTACTTCATCTTGATCTGGTTTCCAAAATAAATATTCACATATCGGTCCTAAACAATAATCTTCTATTTGAATTTTTTTACAGTAAATTTCATTTTTTTCAATAATTATTGTTATAAATAATAAAAATATTAATAAATTAATTAATTTAAATATTTTTTTAATATTTATATTAAAATTTTTCATAGTTTATTTTTTTTTTTCAATTGTTTCCTTTTAAATTTATATAAAGCTTGGAAAATGCTTTATTTCTTTTTGATGGTTAAAATAATTCTAAATCTAAAAATAAATAAAAAAATATATAAATTTTTAATATAATATATATATATATATAATATACATATATATGTGTGTTATTGCATGAAATATTTTATTATTATTTTTTTCTTTTTCTTTGTTATTTTAGAAATTTTTCAAAAAATTTTTACATGAATGGTGTTCCGGTCCGTTGGGATTACAAACTTTAACTAAACTTTAACACTATTTATTGCAACACATAGATATATGCTTTGTCAACACAATATAACGTGAATGATTCAATTGAATTCTAATAATTTGAATAAGTAAACTAGAACTTGAAACCAATAGAATTGAAATTTACTGAATTTTTTTTTATCTGTCTGATTTAATGATGAAGCTTTGTAAAAGTTATACACATAGATAGCACATTTTCCAAAACTTTTTGAATTTCTAAAAAATAATGTTCTTATTTGTTTTAACTTGACCATACGTTATATTTTAAATTCAATGATTTCTCTTGAAATAAAAACTTGTAAAAATTAACATAAATGTTTGAGAAGGTAATAAAGTTATATTTATGTACATAACAACTAAAAAAATCCATACCATAAAAAAAAATACTTTTTTATAATGAATTTGATATTATTAATATGAAAATAACCAAATCCAATAAATCCGTTCAAAAAACACATTTGGAATACATGAAAATTAAATATTTCGGAAAAGATGCAGTTTATAAACCTTAATATCTCATTACTTTTATAATTATTCTCTTTTATTTACTTATTTTTTTTTTGTTTTTATGTTAAAACTTTAATTGTGTCATTTAGTAATTTGAATGATTTGAAATTATTTTCATTTTAAAATTACTATAATAAAGTAAAAAAAAAAAATTAACTAGAAATTGAAAAAAAATTGAAATGGTCAGGCATATTTCGAGATTTTAGTGAATGCTGAAAAAATTTTTACATTTGCTGAAGGCTTTTGTAATGAACAAAAAGAAACGAAATTTATATTTGTTCCTTTTTTTAAAGAGAAACAACGTAATTTAGTATAAACCCATAATTTTACTATTTTATAATTTTGATATCAAAGTTCTAAGATGTGAAATAGTTTATTTCAAGTATCTGTTGTATTAATTGATCAAATAATTTTATGTCTAATACATATTTCAGTAAATTTTACAAAAGAGTCCAAAAAATCTTGAATTCTGAGACCTGTTGTCAGCAAGCTCATTCGAACAGTTCAGCTAAAGTTAGTCGGGTTATGTGACTTAATTTTTATTGTATAATATAGTATATTGTGCTAATTTATAATAAATTAAGAAACTTTAAGTTCGGTAACATACTAAAATATTATTGCATACCAAAACTATTAAATAAAATTTTATTATTTGGATGGTTTATTTTGATGAGATTTTAATGAAAAATTAAATATTGCTCCGATTTTGTTAAAAGTAACCAAAAATTCAATTAAGTTGTGATTATGTTCTTTACAGAACATTTATTTTCCTATCGGACAACATAAGTTTCAATTCCAAGTATTGACATTATCATTGCTTCGAAAATAAAAGAATTATGAAATTGCAAACTTTTAAAATAAACCTTTCATTCAACCTTATTTTATGTTCTTAGATTAAAAAATAATAAATTTTACTAAATTCTATTTTTACTAATTCTATTCAAATTATATTCACCTTTTAGTCGGAATGTAATTTTGATTTGTTTTGTTATTTTATTTTGAAAAAATTTAAAAAATATGTTCAAAAATCGTAAGCACGACAGATACAATTTATTAATCTTCTAATAGCCAATTCTCAAAATGAAGTGTAAAGTTTATAAAATTTAAATATAATTCAATACAAATTTTAAAATAACTAAGTTCTTATTTTTCTTTTAGAAAATTTATGGATAGCTATGCATGTTTTATTGAGGATTTTTGGGAGAAATTGAAATTTCATTTAACATTATCATTTGCTTTAAATAATTAATTGACTTATTTGTAAACAAAAAACCGGAATAAATACTAAAAAAGTGTTTTCTCTTAAAAAACAGAAAAAAAAATTAATTATTTTAGTTAAAAAATTATATGTATCTGTAATTTTTTATAATTAAATGATATTTTGAGATAAATTTTAGATCTTTATTCAAATTAAAAATATTTTTGGATTATTGGAAATTTATTTTTGCAAATTTGGTGGAGAAAAAAAAACGCACTAAGAAAATTATCAAGTTCGAATGCAGATAATAGTAGTTCAAATAAAATAATGAGTTGAAATGAGTACATCAAGTAAAAACTCTGCCAAATTACCTCTGGTAACTGTATCTCGCAAATCATCGAACACAAGTTTTAGCCATTTTTTAACCATTAAACAAATAGTATATAATTATGTTGCATATTTTCTGAATTATTGTATATTGCTTTTTTTAATTTTCAAAATATTATTGTTGTACATACATATTATAAATTAAAAATATTTAAATTATTCTCTAATTCGTATTATACATGATTAAAATACAAATTTTTTAAAACATTTTTATAATTTGCAATTTGCTAAAAAAACTTTAGAAATTTTTGATGCAAATAATTTAAATTTATTTTATATTTTTTATGTTGTTTTTTTAAATGTTTTTTTTTCTTATTTTAGATTTCCGAATCCTTGCGTCCGGATATTAAAAATCACTATTATTATTTAAATGTAATTCCTACAGCATTAGAACTTCGTAAATCAAAAAATACAAATGAACCAGAACTACACTTAAAAACAAGTAAAATACGTTCAAACACATTAAATTTTTTAGAAAATTTATGTCCGCAAATAGAAAATTTAAATTTAGATAAGAAATATATAAAAAATATTACAGTAAATAAAGCGGAAAAAAATCCAGATATTATTTTCCATTTGAATTCAGAAAATTTTTATAAAGACTCATTAACTAATACTGAAGAGTTCCTTAAAATGCAAATAAATAAACCGCAAAAAGTAGTCGTTGAATTCAGCTCGCCAAATATAGCAAAACCATTTCATGTAGGTCATTTAAGATCAACAATAATTGGAAATTTTATAGCTAATCTTAATAAAACTTTAGGAAAAAATGTAATTAAATTAAATTATCTTGGTGATTGGGGAACACAATTTGGATTATTACAAATCGGAGTTGAACTAAGTGGTTTAACTAATGAAGAAATACAAAAAAATCCAATTGAAAATTTATTTAAAGCCTATGTAAATGCAAATCGTTTAGCTAATAATGATCCAAAAATTGCTGATAAAGCGAGAGATATTTTTAAAAAACTAGAAGCTGGAGAATTAGACTTAAAAAGATGGGAAAAGTTTCGTAAGTATACCATTACAGAACTTAAAAGTATATACGAACGCTTAGGTGTTCAATTTGATGACTATGATTGGGAATCACAGTATAAACAAAAAGATATTTGTGATATTGTTGAGAAATTACAAAAGAAAGGAATCCTTATAAATGAAGTTGATGGTAGACAAATTGCTATAATTGGTGACAGAAGAATACCTGTAATTAAAAGTGATGGTTCTACCCTATATTTAGCTAGAGACGTTGCTGCGTTATTAGATAGATTTGAAAGATATAAATTTGATTCAATTTATTATGTTGTTGATAATTCTCAGACTGATCACTTTAAAGCATGCTTCGGAATTGCTGAACAAATTGAGCAAAATGTTTCTAAAAAATTAAATCATATTAAATTTGGAAGGATAAAAGGAATGAGTACTAGACAGGGTAATGTAGTATTTTTAAAGGACGTTTTAAATGAAGCTAGAGATATAATGATACAAAAGCAAAAAAATAGTCCTAGTAAGTTAAAATTGTATTTTTGTAATATTATTTTAAACTATTATATGAAACTATAAAAAAAAATTGATTTCAGCAACAAAAATTGATTTAGATAATATGGATGTAAATACTGCTGATGTACTTGGTATATCAGCAGTAATTATAAATGATTTAAAACAGAGGCGTCAACGAGATTATTTATTTTCTTGGGATAATGCACTGCAAGCAACTGGAGATACTGGTGTTAAACTTCAATACACACATTGTCGTTTATCTAATTTAATATCGGAAAATTCTACAATTGAAAAAGCAAATACACCCAAACTTGAATATTTACGAGAATCAGTAGCACAAAATTTAATTCTTGAGATAGCAAAATTTCCCGAAGTTATAATCAAATCACATCAAGAATTGGAATCATGTATTCTTGTTAATTACTTATTTTCGTTATGGTAATTTATATTGATATAAAAATCTCGGTTTCAATAAGACATTAATTTTTAAATTTTATAATAAAAAAACAAACAAAATCAGTTCTTACAGATTCAGTAATACTTGTTTCATTAAAATTCAGTAACTTATTTGAAAATACAATCAAATAATATGTAATTTAAATAATTATTCTGAAAATAATTGTGAACAATTAAAATATTATTATTAAAAATTTTAAAAATTAATGTCTAATTGTATAACCATTAATTTTTTTTAAATAATTTTTATTTCTGAAAACAGAAAACGAAAACAACTAATTTATAATGTATGTTTAAAATTTTAGCAATACAACTAGTCGAGCTCTAAAGTATTTGAATATCAAAAATGAAAAATGTTTTGAAAGTCAATCGCAACGTTTGCTTCTTTTTGAAACATCAAGACAAATTTTAAATAAAGGAATGAAAATTTTAGGCTTAAAACCTTTAACAAAAATGTAAAATTCCTTGTATATGACTGATAATAATTACAGATTAATTTTAAAAATTTTGTTATAATTATTTTGTTTTTGTTTTTTAATAACATTTTTATTTTATTCTGTTAAAATAACTAAATTTTAATAAATCAATATAAAAAAAAAACTACTTTTACATATACAATTTGTTTTCTATACGATTTTTATCTCTTCTTCCATGTATATTTTCTGCGGGCACCTTCTTGTCCAAATTTCTTCCGTTCACGTGTTCTCCAATCACGTGTTAATAAGCCAGCTAAAAAAAAGGAGAAAAATCCAAAATTAGAAAAAAAAATAAAAATTAATTCGTCATTATTGATGACAACATAATAATATTTCTTAAATCAATCATAATCATATTAATTATGACATCGAAATAAAATTAAGAATTGAAAATAAATGACGCAAATTTTATACAATTTTTAAATGAAACTTCAAAGTTAAAATGCCGATAAATAAAAAATTGCGGCAAATATGCTTTAAATAAAATAATTTATATTTTGAGTTGTAATAAAAAATATTTTTGCAATTATTTTTATTTAAAATATTTTACCTAATCGCATTTTTTCAATAGTTTCTTCGTCAACAAAACTTCTCAATGACATAGCAATTCCCCAACGTATTGCACCAGCTTGACCTGATGGTCCTCCACCTTCAACATTGGCTTCAATATCAACTTTATTTAACATATCAGTGAATATTAATGGAAATAAAATCTGAAATAAATAAATTGAAAATATTTAATTAAGATAATGTTTATGTTTGTATACAAATTGCACACTTTTTTAGCAAAGTAAATAATTATTTTATACATACATATAATATTTTAATGCAAAAGTAAAATTGAAATTTTAAAATTGGTCTACTTATTCCAAATAAATTATATACTAGCATAAATCATATCCAGTATATTAATTTTCCTAATTGAATATTATAATCCTGATCGAAATCATCGAAAAACCAAAATGCATAAATTTTATGGAATTTATTAAATAAAAAATTTAATTAAACTCATTGTATGTATGTAATAGATATACAATTTTTAATTAAAAAAAAATCATAATTCCATTCTTTCTCTTTGTTTTTGGATAAACATTAATATAATAAATACAAAGGTACCCATTTACCTATTTTGTACACCCAAAGATATTTTGCAAACAATTCTAGTTAGCACTTAACTCTTATTTTACCCTAAATATTTTCATTATTTCTGATTTATTTTCTGAATAAGTGGTAAAGAAAAGGTAGACAGTTTATAACAGTTTAAACTTTCACATAATTATTTAATTTTTTTTATATAATATGTACATATATATATGTATGTAAATTGTATAAATGCAATTACTATACAATATCAAATTATAGGAGCAGAACAATTCTATTTGAATTAATAATAACCTACATAAACAAAATTTTGAAAAAATAAGAAACAAAAAATTGACCTAATACAAAATTTTTAACTATAAAAAAGACCTTGAATAAATGACAAACTCTTACATAAAACACAGAGGCATATAAAAATTCCGTTACCTAAATATGCTAAGTTAACGCAATATAACAAAAAACAATACAAAAATAATTTTTATTAAAAGAAAATTAATGATTAATCATCACAACATGTGTATTTAAGTACCGTTGTTTAAAGTCAAAAAAAAAAAAAAAAAATTTTTTTTTTGTCATTCATAAATTTTAAATTTCGCCGAAAAGAAAATAATTTGGCCAGAGTTGAATCATTGTAAATTGAATCAAACAATTGTACTTAACGTATGTGTAATTACGCATCTATATATTATTATAGTATAACATGTACGCAGGCTTGCACATACGTAACCTATGTATAATAACGGTTTAATGTGGAATATTGAAATTTTCGATAATTCAGTTCTAACTTACATATGTCTTACAATAATTTCAGTTAATGGAAACTTCAATATCTGCCAAAACAGCAAAATTTTGTAAAATTTTGGTACAAAAAAAAATTATATTCTAAATATTAATACAGATATTCTTAAAGTTCTAAAAAAGGAATTTTTGATTGCCTCTTTATAACTACTGTAAAAATATTAGAAATTAGAAGAGGAACATAATAGAAAAATGGCAAATATTGAAAAACTGCTCAGTACGTTTTTTTTTTTTTTTTGCGGTTGTAAGACGCTATAAATCTGGAAAAGTAAAATATTTAAATTCTCTAGATAGTTTTCATTATTTCTGTTCTAGAATAGTTTTAACTTTTACAACGTTCGAAAATAATATGCAACACACAATGAAAGTATATACTTATATAAATCGTTCGTAAATTACCCGCTGTAATAGTGCATTTGGGAATTCATTCTGTAAAGAAATATTAGAAATGTAGCGCAAACATCTAGTTTGAATTTTTTCGTTGCCGCATGAGATTTTTTTTTTAATTTAAAAATTTTTTAATTTCAATTTTAAATTTTTTTTTTTTTCAATCTTTTTTTTAATCAAAATTCATATTTTCATGAGTTTTTAAAAGATAAACTGTTTGCGATTTCCTAGACAGAAAATTGACAAAGTACTTTTGGAAATATTATTTGCACTTACGTGTTATCACAGTTTTGACTACAGAATTGTTAATATTCGTAAGCACATTTTTGAGGAGGAAAAAGTACTAACACAATAACATTCTAATAACAATTAAATTTTACATAAGTATGTATATATGTACAAAAATAAGTTCGAATAAAATTAAATCATGAAATAAGTATAAACATACATGCTATGTAGGTATTCATTTACAAGTATATATGAATGTATACATACATTTATACACAAAAAGAAAAGATTTTTCTTCCAAATTTTCACATATTTTAGAATAAGGTAAGTAACTAACGTGAATAATTTGCAAAAAAATGTAAAAAAATAAAAAAAAAAGAAAACCCTCGAAAAAATTTCATGGTTAATTTAAGGTTTTTAACCCAAAAGAAAAGTAACTATAGAATTTTTTTTTCAGATTTTCCGGAAGAATTCACACACAGTTCTATGACACTCTCAAGGATGAAATTTTAATATAAGCAAGCACATTACATATTTCCAATAAGAAAAAATTTTAAGTAAAAGAAAATTTTAAGCTTATTTTCATTGGGTTAAAAACAGAATGCTTTGAAAACAAATAGAAATTTTCAAAAATTAGTTAAAGATTCTAGGTTAAAGTTCACAAATTATATGAGAAATTTTCTGACTCACAAGTTAATATAAATTATAACTGTGATTCACTTTATTTTTTAGTTAAATAATTTTTATATTTCATTTTCTTTTGTTTTTAATTTATTTGAAAGAAGGCACATAATATGTGTATAGTAAAATATTAAAAAATTAAGATGCTTGTATTCGTCAATCAGACAAATATTGTATAAAGTAAATATGAAAATCTTCTAAACTCTTGTACTCTAAGCCAGAATATATTTATTAGCATTTACTTCATATGTTTACATTCACTTAATAGATCACATCGTTGCATAATTTCTGGAAATTGATAAAGTTTTTGACACTTTTCTGTCTATTGTTGGCACAGAAATACTAATTTCTATCCGATTTTGGCTGAGTTTTTGTAATGTCAAGTATGGTAAATCAATTATTTTCAAGTGGATTTTTTCCTGTTAAAAATTTAATTTCTAATGAAAGTAAAATTTTTGAGATATTTCATTTATTTTAAAAAGCCTAAAAATTCTATTGAAATTTGTTTTACTCAAAATTTACCAATCCCCTTAACTTATTAAAACTAAACATTTTTTGACCCAACAAAAGATATGATACGAATGTCTTTCGTGTACGGGAAAAATTAAAAATTGAATTGTTTGAATAGTAGAATAAGAATGTTACGAGTATATTGCATAATATCTAAACAAAATATAATAATACTGGGAAAAGAAACAAAAATGATTTTTAATAAAATAAAATGTTTGTAGATTAGTTTGTAGATTTAGATTTGTAGATAGTTTGAACTATAGTCGGCAAAAATTTTGACTAGAAATGAATCGTTTCGGGAAATTTAGTTAGTTTTTGCTTATGTACACTTTAACTGTTAATTATTTACGATATTAAAAATTCTAAATTTATAGACCTCTTGGTTTCTTAGCCTAAAAATATTTTATTAAAATTGATTGAATTAAACTAAAATTGAAATGTTTTAAATAATACAAATATGATTTAATTATATTTCGTCAATTATGGCCACTGCAAATAGTATCTGTTGAACTTTTTGTATGATTACAATATTTTGTTTGCACATAGAAATTAAATCAACAAAATTAACGATACTATTTGACGGGATACGAGTATAAAAAAATTTTCAACCATAATAATTATACAAAGGAATGCCTAAAAGGGAGTTATAGTTAAATTCACATCTATTGCAGTAGATGCTTTAACATTTTCATATAGCAAAAATTAATTTTTAAATTTTTAATTTTTATTCCCCAAAAATTTCTACAATAAATAAATAAGAAATATATAAATTAATTTTTGTATTTGCCACTTTTTAAATTTATGGTAAAAATTTACTTTCTTAGTCTGTTAAGAAAGTTTTTTCATTCTTCTAAAATGTTATTCTTAACATTACACTAACATATACAATTAAATTATCTAGACATATAAATTATGCTTAATCCCAAGACTAAACATTTTATTTTTTTTTTATACATTTCAAGATTATTTAAAATTTATTCCAAAATTAATTCAAATCTCAACGTAACTTTGCAAATGGAATGTCAGCCCAAATTAAAAATTATCTTTCTTGAATCAGATAGATGATAAAACACAGTTTCATGAATCATACAAGTTTATAGAAAATGATAAATTTAATGAAAATTCACTGCATTTACTCAAAACATAAATTTTGAGATTCGAATAATAAGATTCGTTTCTGTGCTAATTTTAATTACTTTTGTTAGCATTATATTTGCGATTCTTGTTTTTTCCAGAGTATGTTACATAAAATTATAAATAGACTATTGTCGTAGCCTTTTGCATGCCCCATATGTAGGCTAACGTAAACGCACTTTGAACTACTATGTTTATTTTAAGTCGTATATGTAACATACGTATATATATAATGAATAATATCTTAATTTTGAATGTGCCTGGCTATGAAAAATTTAAGAATTAGAATTTTTTTAATTGTATTACGATAAAAGTATGAGACCTAACTTTAAGTATGACACCTAACTTTAAAATAAAATAAGGTTTCATACTTAGCACGCGAGTTAATTGTTAATAATAAATTTATATGTGTGAATATAAAATCATTCAGCATAAATATTATTACACAAATATATTTAAAATTTTATTTTATACTCGTACACATTATCGGCTTTTTATTATTAATTAAATCTACAATAAAATTATTAAAATTTACATAAAATCGGGCATCATCTTTATGTCTTAATTTATGTATAAGAAAAGCTTTGTTTGATTAAAATTCACATACAATCCGGTATATTTTTATACCCGTACGAACGTATATTCAAAGGGTATACTAAATTTGCCTTACCGCTTGTAACTCTAACAAATAATGCTCTGAGATATAGACTCAAGTGTTTGTTTTTGATCAGCGTCGAATTCTAAGTTGATTTAGCTTTGTCAGTCCGTCCGTTCCAACGATAACTCAAAAACTAATTGAGCTAAAGTCATCAAAATTTCTCAAATGATTCACTATAATAATAAATGCCAGAACCATTTTTAAATTGGACATGAT